TATGAAAATTTCCATGCGCGTGATGTGAAAATAGAAAAACAGATGACAAAGGTCAATGGTTGGCCGTGAGTGGCCGACTGACTAGCCGTTGAGCGATGAATTTTTCAGTCAACATAGTTAGAGCTGGAGAATTATCCACTGACAAATGGCTAATCGGTCTGATTCCTAAAAAGACTTTGCATCCTATTCATTCTAGTGTGTGACATAGTGCCATGATTCAGTTGAGCACTAGTAGCAATCGCGGTGCGTTTTTCTCTTTCGAAGTCTCTGAATGTGTTCAGCATTCGGAAAAGTCTTTCAGAAAAGGGTAAGCGAATCCAACGGATGAGCGTTACTTGTCAGCGTATTCAAATTTCTATTATTTACCATTCAAGTAAAAATATCTGCATTTCAAATGCAGATCCGTTATTTTTTGCTGTGCTGTTTGGACCTTACTCGATAGTACTTAAATTATGCGAAAATGGCCCAACGTGCACTTTACTCAGAAAAATCTCGCCTTGTCTGGAATTCTAAATAATTCTGACCGAATATTTCTATATTAAACTAAGGACAGTCAATTTTATATTTAATTCTTCAATAGAATCAACTGCTTATATCTTTTGTGACCACTGGATCTCCGTTCCATAGCATGGGTGCCAGTTAAAACTAATGGAGGATAATATTGGCGATAAATGATGAGTTTCCGCCAAGTGATTTTTGCAATCGAAGATTGCCAAAAAATTAGCATTTTCCTTAGCCCCTCCAGAAAATCTTCAATACTGTTAACAGTGTCTCACTTTGAAAATTTTATAGAAAGCTACATCAAATTTCATCGACAGATTTCATTCAAAAATGCATTTTTGAGTGAAATTTGATGTAGCTTTCTATAAAATTTTCAAAAATGAGACACTGTTAACAGTATTGAAGATTTTCTGGAGGGACTCAGAAAAATGCTAATTTTTTTGGCAATCTTCGATTGCAAAAATCACTTGGCGGAAACTCATCATTTATCGCCAATATTATCCTCCATTAGTTTTAACTGGCACCCATGCTCTGGAACGGAGATTCAGTACCCTATAAAATCCTGACTCCGCCACTACTGAGAATGATGATCTTAAAGTGAGCTTACTCCTTAAGTATCCTATTCTAATCCACAATCTCGTTTTCAAAATGGAAACATGTGAGTTCCACATTTTAGCACCAAAGGGGTTGCGCTGACAGGCTTTTTTTACTTCTCTGTCTCTCTCTCTCTCTAGCTTCGGATCATTATTTCTGTTACTTTGCATTGTGTATGACAAAGTGGTTTCAACGAGAACTGTTTCAATAGATTTGCCTCCGGTTAAACACATAATATCGTTTTATATTCCCTAATAGACTTTGACGTTGAGGGGTTCTTATAGTATTAGCGTGGGTCATTGTCTACAGCTAGACTTCAAGCCTATGACTGACGAACTGTGACTGGGTTTTGGAGACCTATCGGTGACGGTGTGCGGAGGGAGGAGGGTGGTTAAAATTTTCACTCTTAAACACCTCAACACTCTCCTTCGGATCGTGTTTCACAAAATATGACTGCGGATGGGAGCCAGAAGTGACATATACTGGTTACACTATTGTCATTCGTTTTCCTGTTGCACCATGGCAGGCTGGTGCTTTGTACTATGTTAACATGGACAGTGGTATGTCTTCTTTTTCTCCTTTCTACTTTGCATTGCATATCATATTTAGGTGTGGCAAGCGGTACTGAATTTTGTGGTACGTAAGAACTAACAGAATATGAGAAAGAGAGAAAATCAAGAAGGAAACTGACTTTCATTCAAGGTCCTGAATCTGCACCCATCACTGATCCCACATTTTGGGTTTTTAACATTTGGAATCCAGCGCTTTCGTCCACAACAACAACAACTACAACACCATTTACAACTGTCACGGTCACTACAAAGCCAACATCGACAACAAGTATCAACACATTAGTAAAATTTCTTCTCACTTCTACTCATCTATACTCATGACAACACTTTGACTAGT